CAGCGTTGCACATTTTCCTGGTTTGGGTGGGGGCTGAGATCTGTCTCCAGGCTCTGGACTTTCTTTGAGAGAAAGGTCACACGTCTATGGCCATATCACCCTGAATGCACCCGATCTCATCTGAGAAAAAGGTCACACTAAACCAGAGGCCCACAGCCATCATGTCACGTGGGAAACAACTGTGAAGCTGCCTGACCAGCACCTGCCCCTTTCATGGGATAACATTCTCAATTTTCTTTTAAGTATTAACATGTATCCTAGGTTGAGCCAACCATAAGCTAAGGATTGGTTTACAGTGGACAAATGATCCAGACTCAGCCAATCAGAATCTAAGATTGGGCAGAGAGGTGGGTATTTGAGCAAGACCCAGCCAGTGAAATTCTGGTCTGGGACTTTTATTGGCTTAACCAAGGGGGAAAAAGCATTCTTTTTTCCCCCCCCCCCCCAAACTTCACTAAGGCCGCCAAAATAGGAGGATGTAATGGGAGCGGTGACAGGGAAGAACCTACTTGAAAGTAAAGGTAGTGCTGAGAAAATCAGATCAAAGAGAAATCTGGTTCCTGGAGACATCATTTGAGACCCTGGTTCTAAGCCACATCTGAATCTGTTGTTCTAACCCTGGGCTTGTCAGTTACACAAACCAGAAACTTCCTTTCCGTTTTGCTCAAGCTAGTTTGAAGTGGGGTCTGTTGTACTTGCAAGCAGAAGAATCTTGCCTCGGCCGGGCTTGGTGGCTCACACCAGTAATCCCAGCACTTTGGAAGGCTGAGGCAGGAATTCGAGACCAGCCTGGCCAAAATAGTGAAATCCCTGTGTGTAGTAAAACACAAAAATTAGCCAGCCATGATAGTGCACACCTGTAATCCCAGCTCCTTAGAAGCCTGAGGCAGGAGAATTGCTTGAACCTGGAGGCGGAGGTTGTAGTGAGCTGAGATTGTGCCACTGTACTCCAGCCTAGATGACAGAGTGATACTGTATCTCAAAAAGGAAGAAGAGGAGGAGGAGAAGGGGAGGAGGAAGAAGAAGAAGATGAAGAAGAACAAGAAGAAGAAGAAGGAGGAGGAGGAAGAGGAGGAGAAACAAGAGGAAGAAGAAGGAGAAGGAGGGGAAGAAGGGCAAGAAGAAGAGGGGGAGGAAGAGGAGGAAGAACGAAGAGTAGGAGAAGAATAAGAAGGAGGAGGAGAAGGAGGAGGAGGAGGGGAGAGGGAGGAGGAGGGGGAGGGGGAGGAGGAGAATAATCTTGCCTACCACAGGGGATCTAGGCATTAGCTGATGAGGAAATGGAGGCTCGAATAGGGTGCTTGCCTGTCCATGTCACCTGGGCAGATATGATCTCCAAGCCTGCACTCTGGGACAGGACAGCATCTGTGTTGGGATTGAGGAATCTGAAGAGATCCCTCTTAGTGTCCAGATACAGGGCTATTGGATGAGGCTTGGAGATAAATAGTTCTGGGGACAACGGAGTATCCCTCCCCCAACACACACACACAGAGCAATGAGGGACAGGGACACACACAGGCACTAGGCTCACCCTCTCTGGCCCTGACCACACTTCTGACTCAGTGGTCCCACCCCACCCTCATGACCACAGTGGAGTCAGGAGAGAGGGTCTGGCAAGGGAATCCCTGGGCTGGAGTCCAGGTGGGGTCCCTGGCCCCAGAAATGGTTGTAATCTCTGCTCATGGCCACCAGGATCAGACAGGGGGCTGGGCCATCACAGGGGGTGGGTGGCAGTGGGAGGAGAGTCCAAAACATCCTGAAAACTGTAACCTCACCCTATCATCTGTTGTCCAGATGTGACATTTGAGTCTGGGATCCCTATCAGGCTCCTAGGCGCTAGGAATTCTGAAGTCTGTGGTGGCAAATCACTGACTAGATGGCAAGACTCCTGGGGCAGGCTTCCTGTAGAACTGGACCCTGAATCACCCGAATGTGTGCCCCACAGAGCTGTGGCAGGGGATGCTCTAGAACAGGGGTCCCAACCACCAGGCGTGAGGAACTGGGCCGCACAGCAGATGAGTGGGGGGGGCAAGTGAGAGAAGCTTCCTCTGTATTGACAGCTGCTCCCCATGGCTCCCATTACCACCTGAGCTCCGCTTCCCGTCAGTTTCCTGTCAGTCCACTTCCTGACGTCCCCTCCCGAAGGCGGCCATGAGCCTTGGGATGGGACGTCACTAGAGGAACTTCAGGCCCTATTTTCGGAGGAAGCAGTTGGAGACCCCATAGGAGGAAGGGGGATGGGGCAGTAAAAAGTCGCGGTGTCCCCTGTCCCCGTCCCCATCCAGCATCTGCGCGCCCCGCTCTTCTTGGAGACGCTAGATCAGTCCCTCGGGCCCTACTAAAGAAACCACGCAGGGCTCAGATTTTCTCCATCATCATCATCATCATTATCTCCAGGTTTATTTCCAGCTCCGCCCCCACCCCGCCAGACCTGGAGCAGCCTCCGCCCGCGCTGGGCACGCGCTGCGCTCGACCTCAGAACCGCAGACGACAGCAGCGCGCTCCGGTCCAGTCCATGCCCGCGCACTGGCAGTGGCATGTCGTCTCGGCGCGCACGTCCCACGAGCCACAGGCGGAACCACATGTGCAGCTGGTAACGGCGAAGCCTGCAGCCCGGAGCAGGGGAGCTTAGACTCGGAGCTGGAGTCCTGGGGGTGGGAGCTGGGGGCGAGGACGGCTGGAGGCTCCAACTACTCCAGTGCCCGTGGAGCTCCAGGGGCACTGGAGGCAGGAGTTAGGGTGAACACCAGTGTCCAGATGGTGGGTGGAGAAGGCTGGGAGTCAGGACCAGGATCCTAGGGGAGTAGAGGCTGGACTTGGGGAACGTGGCGGGGAGGGGCATTCCCGGGGCCTTGGAACAGAGATGGGCGCCTTGACAACAGGCTTCTGCACTCACTTTGGGGGCAAGTAGCCAGGTCCCCCCTGGAGGTGACGCTCTGGCACTCCAGGCCAATGCTCGTTATTGCCTTAAATACTGCAGGAGGGAGAGAGGAAGGAGGGGCTGTGAGACTAAACGGCCCCTCCCCCATCCTCCCGCTACGCGCGCCCTGGCGGTTTGGAGCTGGGTCCCTGCGGGCATAGGCGCTCACTAGCCTCCAGGATCCTGTCTTGACTTGGGTGTTTTGGAGTAAGGAAAGATTTGGGGTGAGATGGGGATTGGGTTTGGAGCTGTGGATAAAGGTGGGGACCGGGCAGGGAGGGGTTGGAGTGGAGCTGGGGTTGAATTTATCATCTGGTTGGATTTGAGGATGAGATTTGGTGAGCGCTGGGGCTGGGATCAGTGAGGTCTCTGAGACCCTTAGGGAGGTTGGCCCCAGGGGGTCCTCACTTAGGGAGCTGGTGGCCTCCAGGATCGTCTCATCCATGGCTTCATCCAAGGAGCACAGCTTCTTGCTGGACACCAGAAGCCCCAGGAGAGGGAGGAGGAGGAGACAGAGAGCTTTCATCCTGCAGGTGCTGAAAGAGGAAACCAAGAGACCCACAGCTGGGTCAGCCCTGCCCATGTGGGGAGGATCTAGCCATGAGGGAGTGGGATCTGGACCCCTGGATCTCTGTGGGGGACAGGGATGGAGGCTCCTCTTTCAACCCAGTGCCCCAGCTGGTGTGATGGCAAGGGCAGGAGCAGCTGTCACTTACCCTCTCGGTAGGCTCAGCAGACCAATCTGACACACAAATTCTTGCACCAAAGCTTTTTATTTGAGGCCCCTGGGGGTGGGGCTTCCTGTCTTGGCTAATAAGTCCCTGGGTCCCTGACCCTCCCATCCCACATCTGGGGCCAAGAGGAAGCCTCTAAGGGCTGGAGGAAGGAGGAAGCCTCCCCCCTTCCAGTAAGGCCTCCCTCTTTATATCCAGAGACTGGTCAGGAGGTGGTGCCCCAGGGGTAATGCCGGGTGCTATGGTCTGAGGAACAGGTGGAGAAGCAGAGGTTTGCATGTGAGGCTGGCTGATGCAAACATGGCAAAAACAACGTCTCTTGCTGGGCATGGTGGTGACAAGCAGGCTGAGGGGAGAGGATCGCTTGA